AGACTGAATGTGAGGGAGAATCGGGAGACCACCATGTCTCTGGCTTGGGCAACTGAGTGGCATCTTTGACTGAAATCTGGAACCAAGGAGGACAGGCCATTGGAGGGAGTGTGTTTAGTTTAGACATGTTGACCATGAGATTGCTGTGCAAATTTCCAAATAGAAGTATCCAACAGGCAAAGTAAATACAGCACTGCTTTAAAGTTCCTGGACCTTGTGTTCTCAACTAGACTCAGATGAAGACCATTAAAATTCTTCCTGTTCCTGCGTCTCTGGGTTGCTCCTAAGAGTCATTCATCTTTATCTCTGTTTTCTGTGTGATCTTAGACTGGAGGCTTCACCTTTTGCATCTTTGTTTCCTCATCTAAAGTGAAATGGCAGCCCTGACCAGTGTGGCTTAGTTGGTTGGGCGTCGTTCTGAAAAGTGACCAGTTCGATCCTTGGTCAGGGTACGTATGAGAGGCAACTAACTGATCGATGTTTCTCTCTCACATTGATGTTTCTCTCCTTCTCTTTCTCCCTCCCTTCCCCTCTCTCTAAAAATTAATAAATAAATTAAAAAAATAAAATAGCAGACTAGATGATCTTCATGAGTTCCTGGGTTTAAACTTTCATCAGAGACTATACTTCTTTCTTTCCAAAGGGGTTGGGAGGTGAGATTTGGGGCAGTTTTTAGTTCTTTTGTTTGTCAGAATCTGGTCTGAGCTCTTCCAGTTGCATATTTTTATGCTAAGAAAAAGACCTATTCAGTTGTGTGTTGTGAGTCCTCAACAACATTATCTTCAGAGGTGCAGAAGAAGGGATACAGCTTGACCTGGTGCAGTGGGAAAGGAGTGGCTAAGCCTCTCGAAAGGCCCGGATTATGCCCCGTCAGAAAGTCCTGGCCTACTGATCTCTCTTGGCTCCCAGGGGAACCTGCCTCACCCTAGGCGCGGTGGTCAGGAGCCTCTTTTCTCAAGGGGAATCTTACCCTCCCTGAAGTCCATTGCATCTCAGTGAGCCCAGGGCAGCAAGCTTTCTCCTCTTTTCTCAGCCTTCCCATCCTATTAAGTTTGAGCAGGACAGGCAGTGTGCCCATTCCTTCAGTTGCGCAGCCACATTGACAGGCTGTGCTGTGGAAAGCCTGTCTCTAGCTGTTGTAAGTTTCTCAAGATCACATTAGCAACCAAAAGGAATGCACAAATGCAAAAAGCTCCTTCAGCTTCCTGTTCTCTTTCCTCAAAGGAGAGCGTGGGTTTTGAGGTCCTCAGCCTCCTACTGAAATGCAGGGGTCCGTGAGGGTGGCTCTCCTGGAGGTTGTCCCACGTAGCTCCATCGCAGCATCTCTGAGCCGAACAAGGGGTGTAAGGTGGGGCCTGCTCCAACCCCCCAGCTAGCTTCTCTCACAAAATAAGCCGAGGATTATTGCTCTCGTTTGCATTCTCTCTCCTGCAGTGCTTTATTCATTCAACAAACTTCTATGTAACAGGTACTCTTTGAAAACAAAATGCATAACAATTTGCTTAAGCAGCTAATGATACAGTAAGAGTAAGAAGATAAATGACTTACAGCAATGATTTCTCAAACTAAAGTGGGCATCAGAGTCACTCGGAGGGCAGCATCTCTGACTGCAGAGGGCTGGGGGCTGCGTTCCTGCCAGGCCGCCGGGCAGGCTGCCGCGCGGGTCACCTGGGCCGTCCTGCGGAGTGCACTGTGGCGCCGAAGTGCGGATGGGAAGGCGTGGCTGTGGTTTGCGAGCATGGAGGAGGAAGGAAGTAGCACCACTTCGTTTATTTGCCTTTTTTCTGTTATTTTACCTGTTGTATTTATTTTCTGGGTCAGATTTTTCTTTTGATTTGTGAGGTCATAAAAGCTCACTCAAGGTGTCCATTGGCCTCGAAGTACTAAAGTCCATGTCGGGTATGAGAGCCTGTTTGTCCATCCCAGGTATTTCTTTCTTTGTTTCTCCCCTTGTCCTGGCTGCTCATGGCCCGCCTGCCCTCTCTCAGGTTCCGAACCTGCAGGCATGCGTTCAGACGTCAGAGATTTTTAAAGAGGAGGAGCTTACTTTATAAATTGGTCCCTAGGTGAGAGCAGCTGTCAAAGCAGTTTTCAAACTGTTCTCTGGAACCTGCGTGGGGACTGTCACATGGGGTGAGGTCCTTCAGTCTTCCTCTACCACTACCACCACCAAGTCAACCAAAATAGCTATACTTTTATGAAAGAGTTTCTGGAGAAAATTAGTTCAAAGAAAGGATCCCACTGCTTTTACTTTGTACTTTGAAATTACTGTTCTGTAACATTCGCTCTGGTTTGAGCCTCCTTTTGCTTGTGTGTGTGTGTGTGACAGAGAGAGAGAGAGAGAGAGAAATCCTGCAAGGATTGAGAAATTTTAGACCTAGTTCCTATGGGTCCTTTCTAGGTTCCTTTAACAAAGAAAACAGTAGTTTATCTTTAAATTTTCCATTTGGTACTTACTATTCAAGACAACAAGCATTATTACACACTACATAGCCAGTCTCAGAGCTGGCCCAGCGTGCAGGCTTGAGCAAGACCTGGATCCTTGAAGACGTGTTAGACAGCATCCTCACGCCCTCTTCTCTCCCAGCACTGCCAGCACCGAACATCTCCGTTTACTCACTTTGAGCGAACCCTCTCCCGGACCAGCCCACAGTGTGCTGCGTGTCTCTCGACATTTGCAGTAACTCCTTGTGATACCTTCAGAGGAGGAGAGGGGAGATGTGCCGAGATGTACAAGGGATTTATCAAGTACAAGCTCACCCTAATCTCTTAGGCCTCAGCTGCACTACCTGACTATGCCATTTGTTACTCAGCAGCTTTGGGTTTAGGGGGTTTGGAAGCAAATCCCCCTTTCTTTTGGGCTAGGTTTTGTGCAAATGGTATTCAGTGAATGCCTCTGAGCATCAGTATAGACCCAATGGGAAGAAATGCTTTAAGATCAAAATGGGAAAATCTCTGAAAATCATAAATTACATCCATGAGGCTGAGCCTGAAAGGCTGACCCTACCTCATCTCCACTGTTTATTTCCCTCTTTAGGATCAGATATCTTAAAAGACATTTCAGTCTTAAAACCTTTGTAAAAAACACCCATCCACCGGGCATAGCCCCGACTCAGCCGGCTGCCCCGGCAGCTGGGGGAGGACTGCTGGCCACGCACAGCCCTCAGGGGCGGCCAGGCCTCGGCTTTCACCGCGGGGCTGGGTGCGCGCGGTGGCTAAGAACCTGCGTGCGCTGGGGTTGGGACCCTCTTGACTTTTTGAAAAGACTCAGAATGTCTTAAAATAGCGTGGTAGCTGAAGTAACAACAACAACAATAGCATGTCATTCCTGAGAACGGCCGTGTAAACCCAAGGCATCAGCTCTGGCAGCACTGAGTTTCCACGCGCTGGGCTCCCACAGGACCCACTCTGATGGGAACCATGTGGTCTCATCATGACAGGAAACGGAGGTCTGTGAGCATTCCGGCAGCCCCCCGGGAGGAATTTCCTTACAGCACCCACAGGCACCTACACCCTGGAATGCTGGTGTAGGCCTGGTCATTGTCACGAGGCGTATGACGCTGCTGTTTCCCTCCCTCAGTAAGAACGGTCAGTTCCCGCTTTTGGCCGCGGCTCTCCAGCCGAGATGCACAGTGTGTTCCCAGCCCCCAGTCCTGAGGAGGCTGCCAGCGCAGTGCGTCGCGGCATGTGTCAGGGTCCCCGAGCCGCCCTCTGAAGAGGTGGTCACCAGTCAGCCCCGGGCTCCACTCCCCTTGCCTTGCTGGCTGGCTCGGGAAAGCCTCGCACCTCCCTGGCCCCCAGATGCTTCGCTCCACACTCAGCACAGCAGTTTTCTGTTTCTTGCCCCCTTCCCGCCCTGAAAACCCTGCCCAGAGCCAGCGTTTGCTGGGCTGGCGCGGTCTCGTACATGGATGGTGGAAGGAGGGAAGCTGACTCTCTTCTCCTCCGGTCACACGCACTGGAGACTTCTGGAGAGTCCTGGATGGGAGAGTCACTAATGGTTTTATCTAATCACCTTCTCCTTACTTGCTCAGCAGTGCTGGGGAGCATCCTTGACCTACTTGATTTCAAATTTTGACAGGTGATAAAAGCGCCCATCGAGATCGCTGCCTCACAGGGTTCAGATTCATAACTATTGACCGATGTTATTTCTGCCTCTGCCGAGATGCTCCCTCGTGTTTGCTGTTACTTTCATGGTTTGCTTCCTGATGCTTTCTGAGGCCCAGACACTTGCCCTTCAACTTGGTGAGCTGCAGCGTAACCTGAATGGAATTGGGGCTGCACGAGGAGCATTTAGACCAGTCAGCTGGCAACTTGACTCGCTTCTCTTTCCCTAGAAAATTATAGTCAGTGTAAATGGCACCTGTGAACGTTCTTATTTGCATCTTTGTGGACTTGACTTTAATCAGGATACTCAAGGCTTTTCACTTCCACTCTGTGAATTTTTAACAACTTACATGCTGTGTAGGCACAATGTCTGGCCCTGTGCTTCTGCGCACCGAATGTTAAATGCGTGGCAATCACAATTTACTTGTCTATTAATTATACTGATAAGCAGAAAAGTCCTCCAGCGCTCCTGGTCTGTTGGGATCCTTCCAGGAAGCTGTTGTTCTCCCAAAGCCTCTGCAGCAGATTTTCATGAGATACCCCCTGCTGGTTCCTTTTCTTCCTCATTCCCTGAGAGGACCGCATTTGCTGTTTTATGCGGGAAACCCCCGATGTTCTTGGGTCCCCAGCTCCAGTTGGAAAGACATCACAGTGTCCCTGGGAGAGCCTGGCCTGGGCTGTGAGCAAGCCCTGCAGGAAGCAGGCACTTGTTGCTCTCTCACTGTGTTTCCCTTCACCTTGCTTAGAGTTTGGGGACCAAAGCCAACAGGTTATTAAAAGAATGAGAATAATTTGACTCCTGGCATTGATTGGGGCTCAGGGTTATGGGGTGTTTTGTTCTGATTTGCAACCGTTTGGTAACCACTAACTCTTCCCTTATTCTTTTCTTGCAGATGAGCTCACAGTGCCTGCACTTTACCCCAGTAGCCCTGAAGTGTGGGCCCCGTACCCTCTGTACCCAGCGGAGTTAGCGCCTGCTCTACCTCCTCCTGCTTTCACCTATCCCGCTTCACTGCATGCCCAGGTAATTTATACCCATCGGCCACGACTTCACTCACTCCACCACCAGTCCTTTCAAACCTGGTTCCCCAGAGCACACCATACAACTAACACCTATCCAGCTAACAGAGCCACCTTCGGGAGATTAATGACCCCCTCTAAATCAAGCTGACGCTCCTCCAGGACTCCTGAGGACCATCTGACAGCAATGATATCACCCACTGCCTGATGTTTGCCCCAAACGGCACCTCTCTCCTCCTTAATGACCGCACCCTCATGTCACACACGAGACACTGGGCCCAGAAGACCTCCCCAGCTCCCAGCCAATGAGAGGGTGTCACCAGAGCATAGATGTGTGTGTGTGCGCGCCTTGTCGTGTGGAGGGGCCGCAGAGGGACGCATGAACTTGTTGCGGGAGTTACGTGTCTGTGTGTTTCTGCGTGTGGAGAGATTTTGCTCTTGTGTTCTCTGAGACCTAGTGACCAAAGGGGAAAGTTATATGTTACCTAATAGATTAAGGGTCCTTTTTTCCATTTTCAGGAAACCCTGAAAAACAGAAGTCCAGTGTAGTGTTTAGAATATATTACAGGTCAAAATAGAGACCTTTGTTCTGACCAGCGTTGTTTTTTTTTTTTTAAGTTAAGGATAGCCCGAATTTAATAAACAAACTTCCTTGTTTCTTCACAAAGATTACTGCCTACCTACCAACCCTTTCTCCCCTCTTGGAGAGAAAAGCTTTGCTTTGAGTACAAGTAGTAATAGTCAGTATTACGATTCAAAGTGATGATCAGTAGCAAATCAGATAGAAGGAGTAAAGATTTCATTTGTCTAACTGTGTGTGTAACTTCTCTAAAAGCAGGAAAGCCTGGTTTTTAAAAAATGTTGGTTTGGACAGGTGGGGTTTTGTTTGTTTGTTTTTCTTAATGTTTATGTACAAGGCTGGATGAAATAAACAGCTTCCCAGAATACTGTTCCTTCTGACTTAAAACTTCTATGTTGTGTAGAACTCACCGCACTGTGTAAGACCCTACCAGCAGCCCTAGGGAGGGTTCTCACTGGGCACGTGGCCGGCAGTGCTGTTGGCTGTCCCTCCTTCCACCCTCCTTCCGCTGAGCTGTCAATGCCTCATGCGTGCCTTGGGCGACCGTGCAGGCAGACCACACACCGGCAGCCTTGGTGCCCACCCCCCCACCCCCAGTGGTTTCCGTCTGTGTGGGGAGGACGAGGCAGAAAGTAGCGTAAGTGGTGAAGGAAAATGTAGATGACGGTTGGTACAGAAAATAAAGTAACAGGTTGATTCCGAGACTGATTACCCATTTCTACAATAAATTAGCTGTGCTTTTGCTTCTCCGTCCGCTGCTGTTTTTTCCACCTTCTGTCCGTGTCTGTGCTCGGTCACCCCGGAAGTGTCAGGTACTGGGAGAAGGTTAACCTGTGGATATCTTCTGCCATCCACCTGCTTGGAGTGGGCTCGGGGATAACTCTGTAGATAATGTGGGGCAACTCAAAGAGCCCCTCTCTTTGTGTCCCACGTACCGACCCCTGCTATCTGTGGGTGTGTCTCCTCTTCTCTCCCTCTTCTTCCTCTTGCTAGATCGCCTGGATCTGGATCAGTTGACAGTTCAGGCGAGTGTTAATAAACACCAGGAAAGAGCCAACTTTGCAGACTCTTGACTGTCCATGGCTCTGGGTAGTCAGCACAAAGCTTTCCACCATTGCCCTGGAAAAACAAGATTTGACAGTGGCCAGGAAGGACTGGGAATAGTGGCTTTTGGCCATACCATGCGGGTTAGCCGCCCTTACTTCTTTCCTATAACAGATGAAACCAAAAGTAGTATCTAAGGGTATGGTGAGAGAAGGAGCGGAAGAATCTTTAGAGATTAGAAAGCCATGCCGTTGTGAGAAAGGAGGGGAGAAACAGTGCTAAGACTAGATGGACTCGGCCATTTGACTTAATGGGATATATTGCCGGCGGCAGGGATGGGGGATGTGGTGGGCACCTTCCCCTATGAGCTCTTCCTTGATCTGGAGACCTTCCCAACCTGGAATCCACTTGGCTCTGCCACACCGGTCCCAGAGCTGGTTGAACTCTCATCTGATACCAGTGAGGTCCTCGTGCTCAACCCCTCTTCTTGCTTCTTGTCATTCCCAGTGCAAGCTTGGGTTCTATACCCTAAAGGCTCATGAACAAATGTGGTTACTTAAATGTCTTTGTCCAGTAAGAGCATCATAGAATGAATTGGCAGAGGCTTTACAGATCATCTGGTCTGACCCGTTTTACAGATGAGGAAACAGACCGGAGAAGATGGAGAGAGTTACCCAGAGTCGCACGCGGCTCTGCCCTGACTAGAGCCAGGTCACCTGACTCTCAGGCCCTGCTCTTCCCACGCCCCCGTGCTGGCTCACCAAAGACCTGTTCTTTGATGGAATTTTGAAAAGGCCTCACTCAATGACTCCTTGGATCTTTCTCCTCTCAGTAGATGAGAAGCCTGTAAGAAGAGACTTGGAGGCAAAGACAAGGGAATCAGAACTTAACCTTCACCAAAGGGCCTGAGAGAGTTGTGACCTGGAGGTAGAGCAGTGGGGAGGCCACCATGAGCATCCCCTTAGTTGAGAATTCCGTTTTGTTTTGGAAATCTTATTATATATCTTTGGAGAAGCTTTTAAATTACTTTGCTTTTCTCAGCAATGTTGTGCTCTATTTTGAGACATGGATTTTTTTTTTCTTCTAGTGTTTCTGTCCTGAGGCAAAGCCCAACACACCTGTCTTTTGTCCACTCCTCCAGCAAATTAGATTTGTCTCTGGGAATATGTTTGTAACGTATCAGCCTACTGCAGACCAGCAGAGGGAGCTCCCAGGCTGAATTTGCTTGTTAGCTATTTCTGCCCCCTCCCCCCGAACCCCCGCCTTTGCCAAAACTATTTCCTGGTAACATTTGAGAGAATTCAATAAAAGTTTTAATCAGATCAGCAATGATCTCAAGTAGACTGCAGCGTTTTGTTTTCATGATAATGTGATGGTGGAGCTAAAATGTTACTCTCTGGCTGAGACTGTGGGAGAAGTGGGCGCAATGACGCTAAGTACTATTTCTGTGGGAGAAGGACTTGGAGCACCTGGGGAGACAGCCCAGAGCTGAGGCCTCCCTGCCGCTGCTTCTGTCCTCTCGGCCTCCTGAACCATCACGAGCTCGTACTGGAAGATTCCCATTCTAGCCAGCGTCCACGGGTCGCATCCACCCGGAGACCTCCCCTCGGCAGGATGGTGTGTCTAGTTAGTGGAAGCCTGTTGGAAGCGAACAATGTGTCTTCCAGTCATCCACCTGAAGAAGGAGGAGCGAGGAGGCGAACTGTCACGGAAAACGAGTTGCATCACATGCCATGTCTAGTTCTGCCCCACCTTCAGTCTGTGGCCTGGTGCCTCCATCTCTAAATTGAAGATGCTTATTTGATACCAAATTTTTTTGATAAACATTTTTTTAAAAGAATTATTGGATATGGTGGTAGGACTGTAAGCCTCAGTTTTGCCTTATTTTTATTGAAATGAAAAACTACTTGGTGCAGCAAACATTTGATTTCTAAGAAGATCATTAATAATTTTAGACATGATCATCCTGTTTATTTTCAAGGTCATTGGTATTTGAAATTTATTAGCTATATTATGTAAGTCACTGCAAACAGGAGAGGAAGTTTTCTTCCACGACTTTTAGGAACATGATACTGCGAAGAGGACATCCAGCTGTTCCTGTCACCTCGTCGTCCCACAGCTCGGCTTTTTAAGTCTGGGTCCATTTTTGCTGTTAGCCTTCTTGCTGTTGGGGCAGTGAGAAAGTCCATAAAGCACAGGCCTCACCACATTCTAGGAACAGAACGCCATGCAGCCTTGCCCAGGGTCTTATTCTTGGGCCAGAACTTTTGCAGGTAAGTAGGACTGAAGAGCAAGTCCTGGTTACCTGTTCATTCTTCAGAGGCCTCCTCTGCCCTGTGCAACAGCAGATCCTCGCAGGGCTGCTCTGTGGCTTTGGACTCGGACTTGGACACATCACCTGCACATGAACAAAAGGTTGTAAAATCATAACACAGACTTCCCAGGGGCAAGACATGCCCCTTGGGAGAGCCCTTGTGACACACTGGAAAAATTTAAAGGTTAAGTCCAAAATAGATACAGAAACGGACCATGGGAAAAGAGACACAGCGAGTAGAGAAGAGGGGCCACAGGGGAGCGAGGGCCTAGGGCTGGTCTGTGGGTGGCCCGACGGCAGGGCTGCACCCGCTGCTGCCACCATGTCCAGGCATTAACTGAGCGCGAGCTTGCGAGAGCTGCGTTTTAAGACTTTTCTTTTTTTTTAAGCGTCTTCTCTGTCACTATAGAGGATATGGGGTGGAGAGGGAGACGCAAGAACGTGTGTTTTGGGGTGGGTATACGTTAACTGCAGAGACCACGCGAAAGGAGTGTCTGAGGGAGGCAGGGAGCGCCTGGGCCCGCAGCCCGGCAGCCGCGCCCCGCCCCGCCCCGACCCCTGCCGGGACTCCCAGAAGCAGTGCTCCTCTGTTTCAGCCTCGCTCCTGTTCAGAAGCAGAAGCCAGCGCCGTAATAATGGTGGTTGATCCTGTCGGGAGGACCCGTGAGAGGCAGGCTCCGCAGCTTCCCAGCCAGCCAGCCTCCCACGGTGAGGGAGGAGTCCCGGGGCTCGGGGCCCCCTGTGCTCCACACAGGGCATCAGCCCTCAGCCCCTGCCGTCCTTGCCCCGGAGCCCTGGCTTTCCCAAGGGTGCATGGTCGCCCTGCAGCCGGAGCTTAGGACTGTGCGGGAGACCACAGCGCCCAAGGGCCCCACTTACCGTGGGGCTGTTCAGCCCACGGCGCTCAGTTGTTTTCAGGTATAAATGAAACTCAATCCTCAGTTGCTTTTATGTCTAAACCTGCAGCTCTGAAGGTCAGGCTGGGAGGAGAAACCACTCTTTGGTGCTCCTGAATGTGCTAGCTTTGTCTGGCGTCCGGTTTTGTTCAGCTTTCTGGTCACCTCGGAGCATCTCAACTCCTGTAGGAGATGGGGTCAGGGAGGCCAGGCAGCGTGAGCCCAGGCAGTGCGCCTCCCAGTTATTAGGAGCCCAGAGCCCCTTGCCTGTCCCCGTCCCCTTTCCCGGGCCGCATCCCTGCCTGCTCCGTGAGGCTTGGCCTGGGTCCTTCGGAGACCTCTGAGTCCGCTGTGGCAACGCAGGGCTGAACGTGCAGGTTATAGAGCTGCCTGGGCAGACACGGCTCTGCCTTCCGTAAGCTGTGTGACCTCGACTGAACAAGGTCCTTAACCTCTCGGAGCTTCAGTAAAGTGGGACTAATCATCCCTCGTGTAAAACTCTTAAAAGGGTGCCTGGCACACAGTAAGGGCCTAGTTACCACCAGCCTTTTCAGGAGCATTTGAATTTTCAGTGAAGAGAAGGAAGCCTCGGACTAGCCACCCACAAGGCTGCGGTCGCACAGACAGGGCGTCGGCCCACGTGGCAACACCGGCAGGGCTGCAGGGGCCTCCTGGCTGCAGCCGAAGGAAGGAAGGCAGGCAGGCAGGCAGGCAGGCAGGCCAGAGGCTGGAAAGGAGTGGGGGACAGGGAGCAAGGTGAGGGAGGCCTCAGTGACAGAGCCGCCGGCATCACCCAGGGACAGCGCTGCCCTACGTCCCGCACGTGGCCTTGGCAACATGTGGCAGTGGTGGGCGAACCGGTCCCCAGGGAAGGCCGCCCACAGCGGCGCTGGACACGCCTGCCAGCAGCAGACTTCTCCCTGACAGGAAGTGGATCAAGAGCAGGAAGTGGCTGAATTCCCAGAGAGACCAAATGGTCCATGTGTTTGCTTTACTCATACCCGCTGTCCCTGAACTTTCCACGGCTTCCTTATCTTGCTTTTCTGTCAGAGAGACCAGCTCCGAGGAAGCGCACAGGCCACTGGTCCGTTCCTCCCTG